CCCCAGACAGTTTCAAAGACAGAACCCCCCCACACTCCCCCACCCCCGTAGAATTTTCTAAGGTTTCTTTTTCCAAAAACTAAGACCGGCCCCCGACCAGAGAAAGGAACAGCTATGTGGCCCTTGCAGGAAAAAGTTTGGGGACCCCTGATGTGGACAAAGGAGTCCATGTGGTCCAAAGGAGTCCAGAAAAAGGAGTCCAGAAAATCAGATCCTCTGGAACTCCAAAACAAATGGAGATATTACGTCTGCGAACTTCCATCCCAAATCCTAACACCATTTTGTATCAAGTTCCCAAAACAGCAACTGATTTCTCAGCGGTTGACCTGTTAAATGCTTTTTTCTCAGTTGATGTTCATCCTGACAGCCATTTTATTTGCTTTTGAGTTAAATGGAAAACCATAGTCATTTATCAGACTCTGTCAGGGCTAATCCAAAGTTCCAACAATCTACAATTCAGCCCTCTAAGAATTTCTGTCAGATCTTGTCTTGACCCCTGACTCTGTCCTGTTGCAATATGTCAATGACCCTCTACTTCATCTCCATCTGAACAACAATGCAATCAGGACAAGCTCACACTGCTGAGACATTTAGGTGAAAGAGGCCGCAAGGTTTCAAAGTCAAAATTCCAATTTGTGCAACAGCAGGTTACTTTCTTAGATCATGTCCTCTCAAAAAACGACTACTGCCAAGGCTGCCAGGAGGCTGAAACCAGCACGTCGTCTTCTGACATGCTTATCAAAACATTCAGAGATCCAAAATGTTTGTAACTTTATTAAAAATTTTTTTTTAAAAATCATCAAAACGTGTTCAAAGTAATAACTCAATAAAAGAATAATCTCAATGTTTGTTTCAATGAGGTGTTGCACAATTCTGTGCATTTTGGTTCCACTAAAAAAAAAGGCAACTCAAAGACCGACTGACGAGCAGAGCACGAGTTTAAATTAGCTAAATCGGTTAACCAACCACCGCTATGTTCAGGGGAGCGCTTATCAATAATTGCAAAATAAAATAATCTCTGTTTGGCTTGCAGAGTGCATGCCATGGCAACGGGTGTACTTAAACAACAAAAAGAGAAAGAGAGAAAAAAGAAAGAGAGGTAGAGAGAGAAAGAGAGTAAAAAGGTACGAGTGATTTTGCGGGATGTTTTACTTTTATTTATCTTTGCTGTAAACAAAAGTAGGAACATTTTTGCAGTGTCTGGGAAATATGTGGATAAAAATTTGTGGACAGCATAAGGCCTGTAATAATCAACTTCCTGTTTGTCAGTAAATCATCTTTCATACAACTAATATGGTTTGACTTCCTTACAACACCTTTGTTTCTCTCTTTGACTTTCTGTCAAAACTATAAACCCATCTATTAGGAAGAATTCTACTCCACCAGTGAAACAGTGGTCTTCAGAAACACAATTGAACAGTAATGTAGTTCACATGGATCATTTTAAAAAGGATAATGGTATTTTATGCCACCATGATATTAAAATAATAACAGTACTTGACTGAATACCAAAATGAATCAGTGGTAATGTAATGCAGGATGATAAAGAAGACCAAAACAGACAGATAAGAAAACAGAATCACGGACAACACACTTTGGTTTCTGATCGTCGTGACTGCTGACTGAACAGAAAAGGCTCTAGGATCAACTAAGCCTGGCTGTCAGCCTGGTCTGGAGCAGGTTAGCTGTACAGGATAAATTGCCATCATAACTACTGCTTTTGTAAAAACAAATGGAGTTTTAATTCAGACAGGATATTTGGAAAATCCCTGATTTATCCGCCATCCTGGTTTTGTGAAACAGCCCTCTAGCCATTAGGAGGACGCAGCTGGAACCAAAACACTGCTGAGTCAGGTGGTATTGTCAGTCTGCTATTACTGAGGCCTGTCCCTGGGTTTCAGGACATTTAACAGTGATACATGTACCACTGCTTAAGAGGTAGAAGGTCTAAAACAAACAACTGGAAATTAAATCTTGCTTATCCAGTATTTCACAAACTATAGTTTGCTGTTGCTATTGGTTTATCAGGTTTACTTTACAGTTTTAACCAACAGAGCAGAGGGCCACACAATATGGAAGATATCTGTTACAAACAGCTTGGATTCGAAATTTGGAAGGTGAGGGAGGAGACCTGTGACTAAATGTAAATTAATCTCAACTCTTACTGCCATTAGAATATATTGCAGTAATATTGCAAGTACACATTGTCCTAACAGCATGCTGCCTTTCTTCATGAGGAGAAAAAAATTCTTCCAAAAATATTTCCAATCCTTAGAAAGCAACTAATCTAACTCAGCCATCAGTGGTTAATTCACAAGCATTTATTTCCATTTCATTTTTGAACTTACCCTGCCCAGTTCCTTGTCTTCCAGAGCCAAGACACCAGTGCTTTCTGTAAAGAGCTTTACTTTAACCAAAGGCAAGGGATGAGTTGTAGAGAAGTCTCCCTGAGTACTCCATCTACAAAACACCAAATTAGAAACTATGAAACAATAAATATGATGAAATATAGTGATCAAAACAACATCAAATACTTTGCTCCCCCACACAGTGGGGGAGCAAAGTATTCAGACCCATCTTAATTTAACTCTGTTTCATTGCAGCCATTTGCTAAAATCAAAAAAGTTATTATTTCTCATGAATGTACACTCAGCATCATATCTTAGACAATGTTGCATATTTTAAATCATGTAGTACAACAAAAAATAGAGACCCTTGTACTGAGTTTAGACGCATAGAAGGCTTTTGACTCGGTCAGATGGTTCTTTCTTTAAAACATGATGTCCAAGTTTGTGTTCCACCAAACCATAATTAATGTAATTGCAGCATTGTACAACAAACTATCAGCTAGGATAAAATCAACTGACACCCATCAGATCCCTGTTCTTTAGAAAACAGATCTTTGTTTCACTGCTCCTTTTTGCCCTTTTCATAGAGCCGTTAAGTAGGAGGTAAGACAGAGGCCAGACATAACAGGAGTTCAAACGGCATCTGGGGAACAAAAGTTGTCACTGTTTGCAGATAAATTATTGTTAGCAGTGGTGTGCCTATCTATTGGCAACTGATCATAATCAGCCAATTTTTGTGAAAAAGTATATGATCATGATCCCTGATCATTATCTTTTGTTGCCGATCACAAAGACCAGTCACCTGTATCTCATACTTTGCAGCCTTCAGAAGTCAGTGTGCAGCATATCTCCTCCTTTCCTTCTCACTGTGCAGCAAATTCTAAGCCATGTCATGTGGAACTTTAACGCTCTGAGAGTAAATGGGTAAGTTTGCGTCTTGTGACAGAAAAATACATCGGGGGTGAAGGACCAAAATGCATCAACACGACAAATTTAACATGACATTTAAAAAACAAGTTCTTAATGGAGTATGGTCAGTTATCGAGGCTCACTGCAGAAAAAAAAAACAGCACACAACTACCCACACTCACCCAGATGAGCATGACAGTCAGAAAGCTAATAAAAAGAAAAATTATTTAAAAGTCATCGGGGTGTAATAGGCTGGGTTCTGCCCTCACTGTTGGACCGGCACTACATGGTATGAAGAAGTAATATTTCAGTCGTAGCCCCGTTCGAGCTCCACCTGACAGAGGACTCTCAAATCAAACGTCTGCTTGATGCTGCACAGGTAAGTTAAAAATAAAAAAAATAAGATAAAGGATTTCCCCCAGAAAACTTGCTAAGCCCGGTGGTCTGGCGCTGAGGCAGTCCACCAGCAGCCCACCTTATTTTTGTATTAAAAGATGTTAAGTTGACAGGAAATGGAAAAATATTACTGGGTAAATATATGTTACTGGAAGACATCGCCAGTGAAATGCCATTTAAATCCTCAACTATTCATAAAACCTTGGACCAACCCTGCATGATGAGCTGCACAACAACAAAAACAGGAGATATAATTTCATGCTTCTAATGTGGCTTAATAGCGCTTCCATTTTGTGTCTGTTGAGTTTTTAATGAGCGCCACAGAAACAGTTTTGGTTGTCCAAGCTTTATGGGACAAGATTTTAAGATCTCCGCACTCATTAACTCTGGCTGACAAAGTGGACAAATTAAACCAGCAAGCACATAATTCTTTGTTCACAAAGATAAATCATTCTCGACGGTCCTCAACATGCACCTCTGACAGAGCAACTATAAATTATACTTGTGGTTCACATTGACTCTTGACTCCTTGAGCAGCTCTCGACTCCTACCCTGATGAAACGTTCTGCAAAGAAACATCATTCTCATGATGGGGTTGATGTAAATATCCATACAGGTCAGCCTGTGTCCAGTTTAAGTGAAACTGGACACGTGCCAAGGTAAACTTCAAATAGCACGTGAGGCAAAGCACAGAGGTGTCAGCAGTGTGATTGGTCCGCGCTCCTGGCTTTGTGGCTTGTTTAAATGCACCAACAAGGTTTAACAAGGTTTATAAACCCATCTTTTAGGAAGAATTCTACTCTGCCTATTTAAAAAAAATTAAGCAGCTTTTTTTTTATTATTATCACTAATTTTTTTAATAAACAAGCAATGCTTAGTCTGGCGGGGGGGCAAGGAAAGACAGGTCGCCAGTCTTATGATGCACTCGGGGAAACCCTGTAATTACGTATGCTTTAAAACTTTCACTGTCCTAACATGATAGACAATCTGTGAAAAAGAAAAAAGAGCTCCTCTGACTCCTCCCTGTGTTCTGCAGAATTAATCAGAGCCAGAACAAAATAATTAGCTCTGCTCTGAGGCCGTTTTGATTTAGTAATGTAGGACTTTTTATTTTAAATCAACCTGAATTTACGATAAATGAATGTTTCCTTTTTTACTTGACATTATTTGACATAGGCAGTGTTGTGAGATTTATTTGATTTTATGTATAATTTAGGGTGTTGAAAGCCTTAGTCTTAATTATTGTATTACTGATCGCAGGTTTTTCATTTGTCTTTCTGACTAATTACTGCAAGTTTTTGTCTGAATTGGGTGATTTTATGGTTACATTTTGCCAGATCACATAGTAGCATTTATACCTAAAGCGAAAAAATTGACAGCTAATCCATGTGATCGGAATCGGTGATCGGTATCACAATAGGCAGCAAAAAATCTGATCAGAGCATCACTAACTGTTAACTGTAACAAACGCAGCTCAAACTCTACGCATACTTATGGAGATAACTGAAGAATATAGTTCATTATCGAGTTACAAAATAAACATTAAAAAGACTCAGGTTTCAATACTAATACAATCCACAGAACAAAATTAGAAGCTTGTCCAAATGGAATTGGAAAGCAAAATCCATAACATTTTTAGAGGTCACATTATCAAAGGATTTATCCAGGATTATTTGATGTCAACTAATGTCAAAGCTGAAATTTGATATACAGAGATGGAATTTGGTCCCTTTTTCAAATTTATATTCCAGAATAGAGTTGGTCAGGAAGAACATTCTTCCATACTTGCTATATCTATTTTAATGTCTACCTATTTAGGTTCCAGAAAGGTGTTTCTTAGAATGGGACAGATTAATAGCGCAAGCAGTATAGTTAAAGAAGGAGAAAGATAGATGGGGTCTTCCCAACTTGCAGAACTATTACCTTGAAGCTTAGTTTACAGTGCTTTTATACAGGAGGCACAACAGTGTAAGAAATACCTTTAAATATCAGTTTTAATGGACAACGATTTACAAGAGGGGCTGACGATGCCACGAGTCAACGCTACGCACAATGCTGGACTCTTGGAGAAAAATACAGTTTGGGCACCCCTGATAATCTTAAATATCTTCAGGCCAGGCTGGCCAGGTCAGGCCTGATGCAAATCTTGGGTTTTTGCGTCAGCTATTTCAATTTGATATATCAATTAACTGATGGGCAGTGTATTGAAATGAGGCTTCAGAAAATGTGCAATATTCATTATAACAAAATTTGATAGGTGCAAAAATGTGGGCACTCCTGCATTTATTGATTTTTTTCTTTATGTACTTGTCACTTATTTATTGGAACACAAAATTGGTTTGGTAAGCTAATCAAGATTTGAACTTCATAGACAGATGTATTCAATCATGAGAAAAAGTATTTAAGATGGCCAGTTGTTATTCCCCTCTTTGCAACTCCTCTGAGGACTGGCAATATGGGGTCCACAAAACAAAAAAACATTATGATTTAGGGGAAGGATACAAAAATCAATGCTGCCATTTTCCACTGTGAAGAATGTAGTAAGGAAATCAAAGACCTCAGGCACAGTTCTCGTTAAGCTCAAATGTGGCAGGTAAAGAAAAATATTAGAGGCCGAGAAGAAGGATGGGGAGAACAGCCAAATACAATCCACAGACCACCTCCATAGATCTACAACCTCACCTTACTGCAGATGGTGTCACTGTGCATCTTTCAACAATTCAGTGCACTTTGAACAAGAAGAAGCTCTATGGGAGATTGATGCGGCAGAAGCCGTTTCTGCCAGCACACCACAACCAGAGTCACTGCAAGTATGGAAAAGCAAATTTGGATATTTTGGGATAAACTGCTCTTGACTGATGTTTGGTCACAACAACGTGCATTATGCATGGCGCCAAAAAACAGCATTCCAAAAACATTTGCGACCCACTGTAAAATTTGGTGGCTGTGTGGCCAATGCAGGCACTGGGAATCTTGTTAAAGTTGAGGGTTGCATGGATTCCACTGCATACCAGCAGATTCTTGAGAATAATGTTCAAGAATTAGTTACAAAGTTATGCTGGGAATGGATATTTTAACCAGACAATAATCCAAAACACAGTTCCAAAACTACTCATTCAAGCAGAGGAACAAATTCTGTCTGCAATGGTCCTCCCCAGTCTGCAGACCTGAATAGCATCATCTGTGGGATGATTTGAAGTGGAGACATTTCATTTGAAGGCTGGACTCTGAAAGATAAAACACTGCTGCTAATGCTTCCCTCCCTACAGAAAATTCACATTCCTAGTGTGTCTCTCTCTCTCCCTCAGACAGTTCCTCCTGCTGCCACTTACAGGAGAATAAATCCTGCTATTAAAACAAAATTTGCTCCATTTGAAAAACTGAGGTAACACTTTATTTGAAGGGGTGTGAATAAGACTGACATGACACTGTCATAAACATAACACCTGTCATGAACATGAATAAGCCTTCATGAATATTTATGACTGTTGTCATAAAGTGTCATTTGGTAAATCATGACACTTTTAATACAAAGTTGACATTATTCGAAATATCAACTTGTCATTAACCAAGAAATCATGATCTGACATAAATTTGTTATAAAAGTATTACCGATTAAACTTTAAAAATTAGCTTTATGTAGTAATATTATAAAGCTCTGCCATGTTGTTTAGTCTTAATTTTCTTAATTTAATCGATCCTAAAGTTTTACAGCAAGATGTCTACCAAGCAATTATGAACTTAGCATTTGAAACATTATTTAAGGCTGTTTTAACCCTTGTGCGTGCGAGGACTGAGGCCAACGAT